TCGTTGGGGTCGGTACTTCGGTCCTCTTGAATAATTTATCATTTAGTGCTGCGTGTTTGGTGCTAATGTTGCGAGTATCGAAGACATAGAGTACTTCCTGAACTGTTGCCGATGTTAACACGTTGTTCAATACTCTATGCGGTACTCGGTGCGAATTAATTATTAGTCCGACTAAGGCTCGACCTGGTGCGTTGTTGATACGTCCAAACACGCATCAGTGATTTTCGATTAACAGTTGATGAACAAATATTTTACCTAAGAATCGAGATCGACAATCGTGCTAGAAAAATTGCGGAAAGCATCAGCGGCCCGTTTAATTACTATCCTGTCAACGTTGCATTGAAAGTACAAGCGTGAAAATCCTCTCCGCTCGAGGTGCACAAAGTCTCATCAAGGAACGTGGGAGATCCATTTCCATGATGACGTGATATCTTCATTTGAAGAGAAAGCTTTCGTCCTGCGCATCCGTATACAATAACGGAGTTTCAGGGCGTTTCTAGAGCGATCTTTATGTCGAGATTCCTTTCCCGATGATTCCCCCGGTTTAATTGCCTTCTTTCACATTCCGATCATGAATATTCAAGCAACATCCAGCTAGCCAAAGCGGTGTCGACAAAACTGGAAACGGAAGATCGTGTCTCCGTTCAGCCCCCTCGCATGCGAAATTTTTCTCCGCAAAATTATTGCTCGGTTTAAGTTTCGCGAGCAACCTGCACCCTTTATTGCATTCGTTCCGTCGACAGAATGAAAAATCACGTGTTCCCCTCCCACAGAATGAAAAACGAGCCCTTGAATATCTCGTGTCCCATTCATATTCGACCAACTAAATGCAGCAGATTGATCGATATCTTATTTATAAGATGTCGTGACCAGAGGAAGTTCATTTTGTTCCGTTTTTCTTCTTTTATTTCTGATTTCTTGCGAACTGCGCGCCTCCCGTTCCCAGATGTCTCTCACGGGACCAAGCGACGAATATTATCGTAAAGTTCGGCGACAATGCTGATATCTGACGTCAAACTGGCTTTGGAAAGCCGGGATTCAGCGACTCCTCAAATCCACAGGAAACAAGGATCCAATAGAAGATCTTTTACCGAAGGAATTTCACGTTTACAACATGGTGAAACGCGTTTGGTGAACTTCCAAGAACATCAAAATTACGGAACGAATCGTTAACGACGAAGGGGTACTAAAACCATCCCATGATTTACAAAAGACACAAACGCTTCGAGACATTTTGGCGTGTCTTTACGCCAGAATGGTTTCTTGATATATTCCGCGATGCAGAAATCTGGTTTTATTGATATCAGTGTTTACAATCGACCCATCTGCGTCGAATCGTCGCCTCAAGCTCCAACGACGCTTCGGTTTCAATACCGAACGAAACGATATAAGAATAAAGCAGTCCCGGCGCAGAATATCCACAGGAGCGATTGAAATTCGAACGCCAGAATCAGATTAAGAATCTCGACAGACGTATTCCTTCACCGAGTGTGTAATCATGTCGAATCGATAGGGCAAAAGACGGCATCCATTTTCGTCAACGGATCCCATAGGTTAAAGTCCAGATCCAGTAAAAGGAGGGTCGTTTGCATAAAAGTATCACCGAAATTCTCGAATAAAATATAATAAGGGAGAAAGGATTCAACAGTCTGGCCAATTTATTTTCCGTAGACCGTAGGTAACAGAGGAAGGAAGCTTATGGTTTCATCGGATATTGAGTTTCCGACGATTTCAAATCCTGATAGCTCGTACGAGCAAGCTGATAACGTCGCGAGTTAAAAAATTACCTAGAAATTATCGCGTGTGCGTGTAACATGGCTACGCGTGTGTGAATTAAATCAGGGGAAGTCCGGGGATCAGGAATCAGATTAAACTGTAACGTACAGCCCCGATTTTGCAGTTTCCCATTTAATTAAAACTTTTACTCGCCTTCACACGTACAGCCTATGTGTGTGTGTGTCTGTTCGCGCGCGCGTGTGAATCTGTTATTTCGCGTTCAAGAGCGTGGAAAATAAAGTTTCACCGTTATTATCGTTTATGACCAGTTCTTTCAGATAACGAGCGTCCCGGCTTTGCGGCTATTAACGCAATTACTTTCATTGGCTCGTTACACGCCCAGCGTTCTTACATTAATCTGTATTATCGCGCTACCGTGTGTCCGACGTTTTGCTTAATTAGAAGTAGTTCAAGCAACGAAGAAGCTGGTTCAACATGATATATTGACTAAACTCTTGCCGGTGATGCAGGTTACTCGGCAGAAGAAACGAGGCTGCCGGAAAGTACGGCTCGAAAAAGGAGTACTTACTAACAGATAGATCATTCGAACAAGTATGGGTTGCGACAACCTTCTCTGCTGTTTTATTTTGTAGCATCCTGTGAAATTACGTCAAAACCAGGAAACATCCTCATCGGTGATATCACAGTGTTGCAACGCGAAATATGTACAACTTCTCTTTAGTCTTGCATTTTGTTCCTTCGCCCGTAACATTTATAAGTAACAGCGATAACCGAAGTTAAAAGGGTAATTGAGAAGAATCGAGCAGTTCCGAAGTTATCGCAAATTCCATTGATAGTAACAATCATTCGATCGACTTTGGAGTATACCCCATAAACACTTGGCGCCTGTTGGGTTGCATGGCAACGAATTAATTTACAGGCCAGACCCTTACTTTCAGCCGCGGCTCCCTCTCGAAGCCAATGGTAACTCGGTATTTCCAAATTAACTTAACTTCTGTAGCCTTAATTACGTTTCTTGGCCTGGGCAACTTTGTTAGTGTGTCGCTGCCGGTATTGTTTAGCCGTGTCGCCACTGGCTTCCATTAGCCCCCGTGTAACTAACTTCCCTTCTCTTCGGAGGACTTTCCGTTTACAGAAGCTTACGGGATCCGCGGATTACCGAGCGGCTCGGCTCTCAGCCAGCTTTCGAAGGCCACTCGAAGCCGCTTAGAAACAGCTCGGAACCGATAACGATTTTCTAATTCGATCATCCCTTTCCGTAACTCGTCGACGACGATTAATTCTCCGATTGTCATAACCCATATCTTACGCTCGATTTCGTTCCAGTCGTAATCGCTGTTCGAAATTGCTTCGATTTCTAGGTTAGTCGAACTCTGTAATCGGCCGAGAACGGTTTACTGCAATTTTGACGGGTCGAATTTTGTGAAAATTGCTTTCGTGAACGGTAAATTGAGTACGTCGGATTTTGATAGAGACTACTGGAACGCGGAGAACGGTTACGGAAATGAACAAGTACTGGAAGAGAATGAGAAGAATGCTGGAAAATTGAAAAGTCAAAGCGATAACGCGGTGTCCGAATTAAATTTCTGAGTTAAGGAACGTTCAATCGGATAAGAATCATCGTTCACGCGAAAACATTGATTTCCCTTAGTAGATTCAGCTCGTCAGAGGCTGAGAGGTTCTCGCCCCGATCACTCGTAAAATAAACTAATTAATACTTGGCTTCTCGGCTCGAGTTGCCGCTTTATTCGATTAACGGTACCGTTGAAACAATGGCGCAATTAAGATCTGGTTTTCGAAGTAGCGCTCGCTATAACGTTCGATTCACGAAGGAAACACAACCGTCTTTGTTCCACGATGGTGCAGCCTCGAAATTTTCTGAGATACAAATCGAGGAACAATATCCAGGATAAATTTACAATATTTCTGGCGTGCGATTAAGGGAAGAGTAATGTTCCTCGGGACGAGGAGAATTGACAGAAAAGTGCACAGCTGCTTCGAAAAAGAGCGTATAAATGCCGTAAAGAGTGTCAGGATGGATAGTTGGTAATGGATCAAAATGAAAGTGGAATTTCGAGAGAGCTTTTACTCGTTCCGCAATTCGCGAGATCAAGTTTGAAGCGTCTTGCGAGATATTCAATGAATCTCCCCTAAATAAACGGTAATTGGAATCGTCCTTTCGCGACGTTTATTATTAGAGAATGAAACGCAACAATAACTGGGAATAATGAGCGGATAAAGCAGCGCTTTCGCGAGCGCCGTTTCGCAATCGTATTATTCGTTCGCCGGCTCCAATCGTCGCGTCGTCCATTAAGAAAACGGCGACTGCGTTTATCAACTGTAAAACTCAATCCTGCGATTAAAGCGTTGGATTAAAAGGAGTAACGTTTAAACGTGAGCAATCAAACGCGCTCTCCGATGTACTGTTAAAAGAAATATATATATATCCATGAAATACGACGGAAACGTGATACCTTCGCTAAGTATCGCGAAACGAACCGTCGTAAAATTTACTTAACGCGTTGATTGCCGTCCCGGGTCTCTGCAAACCGACGTCACAGATGTAATACAAACGAATTACCCGTCGGAAAAAAGAAATAACGCGGATAAAGTTTGGAAAGATAAAAACTGAAAGTTAAATTGGAAAAAATTTCATGGCAAGAGCCTTCGTTCGAACGGACTGAAGTGTAGTCTCATCCACGTCACTCGATCCACGGTAATTCGAGCGAAAACGTTGGTATTTTTCCGCGAACGGAAAACTACCAAATGGGCGATGAAGTTTGATACAGTGTACCGAAAGTGTCATCGACTCCCGACGATAGTTTCGTAAAACAGTAATTCACGGAACGTCAATACGATTCGCGGACCAATCGAATCTAGGCGCCGAGTTCGAGTTAATGAAACGTGTCTATCGAACAATTAAATATAGCGCACGTGACCTCGGTGAACAATTTTATAATGGTCGTTCATCGCGGACACCTCGCTATCTTCCTTTGTTTTTTTTTTGCACCATATTTATAACCGAGCACGACCTCCGCTACCAGTTGCAATTCCAATTCCAATAATTGCCAATCGATTGCTTCAATCTCGATGGTTTCGCGATACTTTTCGTGTGACTTCCTCCGTCTTTCTGCTGACACGATAAAAGAAAATTAGTGCAAAAATACCTGGAATATTTCGAAACATTCTTGTCTCTGAAAGTGCAGAATGCTCTTGTACGGTTATGTTGCTGTAATTAAACGCGATGGTTTATTCTGTTGCAGAATCGTCGACCGCTCGATATCGATTGTTCGAGAGGTAAAAACGTCGAAGAGTCCGCGAAATGGATGCCGGCAAAAGTTGTGGATGCCGAATGAGAATGTCAGCCGATGACACGCGTATTAAAGTTTCAACGGACAGACATTAACTCCGTTTTCGAGGAGTGGAGCAACCAAGGATTCTCAGAATAGAAGATTCATATCAACGGATCTGGTAGTGACGGCGGACCATGGTACATTATTTAAGATGATAACCAGCGGACATTGAAGAGCCTGCCAGGACAAGGGAATATATCTCTGTACGTCATGGAGGAACACGTGAACCAGGCTGGAAACTCGTCGACGGATGGGCTGGTGTTCACCGATGCCTCGATTATCCTCAGGGCTCTGGTGCTCGGTCTCCTGATACTCGTCACCGTTTTCGGTGAGTCGTGTTCCACGTTTCTTACCTCGCTGCTTCCTTTTTCCACGGAAACTTTTCGCCAAGAAATTCGATAGGTTGTTAGAACAGTTGTCGAAAGTTTTATTTGTTTCCTGCCTCGAATTCTCGCGATTCCAATCGCGAAAGTTTTATGAAAGTGGATGTCGCGGGCAAAACGAGGATATAGGCGCGTGTCGAAAAATATTTGAAAATACTCGAAATCGAATGCAGGAGATAAAAATTCAATAACGTGTATATCGAACTATGTTTAAAACTTTGTACCGGTAAAATATTGACCGGATTCCCTGTTCAGGAAAATGTTACCATGGGAAACTATTAACGTTATACCAGAATCAAATGAGGCATGCTATACTAGTTCCGATCCGTTTATCGCCCACGGCACCATACCAGTTGTCAAAAGTTTCATAATACGCGTCTGACCATCTTCGATACAATACTACTTGCCTGACTGCAATAGCATGTTTCATTCGTCCGACAACCGACTGTCTGCTTCTACTTGTCTGACAACCCAATGTATTCGTCTTATCATTTCATAAGTTACTGACCACTCCCTTCTTTGTCCGAGCCTCGGTCATAATCTACTTGTCTGACCATTCGGTATCTCATTCCACTTGTCTGACCACCTACAGTTTCCGAGATCCTTTCTTTTATCTCATGACATACTTCTAAAGTTTGTCCAAACTGTTTACTTGCAAAAGTGGAGATTATTTTCTTTCTTTACTTATATTCGGATCGATCTGCTTTCTTCGCGAAATCTCCAACATATTTTTAGTTTCAGTATTGTCGTTTCAGGACGACAGCTAATATTCGGTCTGATTCATTGTTAACCTTAAATCGATCTCAATGCCGGCTCTAATCAATTGTCAGCTCTGATGCGGTTATTGTATCAGCAGTGCTCAGACAACGTCTCGGTTGATACGGCGTTACGGCAATTGTTAGTACGACAAACTAGACGCGCGTATCTGTACGCAAGTACAATGGAAGATTAATTTAAAGCTGACACGCTTCCTTGACGCGTAATATATTATCGGAAGTGACGGCTGTGGCAGCGTGACGTTTGCACGTGTACGTATCGACGCGATCGAGAAAGATAACGGAGGCTATGTACCATAATATCCGAATCGAGCGTAGGCAAAGTTTGCTCGTGTACAAGTTTGTTTAACGCGCTCGGAAGAAATGCACGAATTCGATCTACGCGTTGAGCATCGATGTCGTTCTCCGCGATTATGGACGAAATTTATTGCGTTTAATAAGAAGCCAACGGTGGTCGGGACAATGATTTACGATTAGCTTGCATATTATAACATCCTGACGGAAGTTATATTTTATCAAGCTCGTTGCATTATTAAAGATAGCCGCAATCTTTGATTTATCATCGGAATATTGAAAAGGCTAATGAACGTCGCGCGACACTTTCTCGTTAATGAAATTACGAGATGCTGCTGTTCAGTTTTATAACGAATACGTTAAGTGATTTAATTACGCGCGAACGCAGACTCAAGACGATGCCGGCGGAAATAACACGCTTTGGTATAATTTAACGGGTTGAAGAAGGTAACGAGATTAAACGGGCGACAAGTGTCTGCAGATCGCATGACCCTTTTACGACACACGGTCAATTTGTTTGATAAGTTGCAGATGCGATGCAAATTACTTAATTTCTGGATGCTTCAAAGGCAAATAGGATTTTCCGAGTACACCCGTGTCCCTGGGATCATAACGTTACTAAGAATTCCTAACGAGATCACGGACATTCTGAAAGGATCCTTAATTGCGTTTTTTGCTGGTTTCCCTGCCGCGCTGCTGTTTCATTTTCATTTCTGCTATTTTCTTTCATTTAGTTCCGAAGGAAATTTCAAAATTAGACAAAAATTTGATTAGCCGAGCGACCTTGGTCAAAGTCGAACGCTGTTGTTTTGTTGAAGTGGTGCTCGGAGTGGCGTTTTAGATACCCATCTCGTTGAAATTCAGTCAGCCTTCGATTTTAACATATTCTTCGGAATTTGTCGACTAACACGGTTGGTCCAGTCCGAAGCGAACCTTCAAACTTTCTGGTTGCGGTCAATAGTTTGAAAACCCAATTACCGGAGCAGCATTGGTAGCACTTGCTGGTTCGCAGTTTCCAACAAACGTAGCGTAATTTCCGCCCTCCGCCACGAAATATGAAAATAAAACGTGACGTGGTCGATTGGTCCGATTTGACGAGGTAATTTGCCGCAATAACAATCACGTCCAGACGGTGGACGACGCCGATTGTTTTCGATGAACACCGTCCGGGCGTAACGTTGCTCTCGCGATTCGAGAGTCGTTCAAACAGCGGCTAATTAATTTATAATTCGCACGGTCACTAACGGATTATTGTACGATCGACAATCGTTCACGCAACGAGCGGATTATTTATTATGATTGAAATTTGATAGCTATCCGAGCAAAGTACGTCATAACCTCGTTTAAAAATGCTGGAAGAATTCGAGACTCCAATACGATCGTAAAATTGGAAACCTTCGAGTAATAGAATTTCCCGAGTTTCCACGAGATCAACGACGTGTAATTGATTTTCGTTTAATAAGCGATCCTTTGAAAACGCAGGATGCCCTTTTCGGAGCGTCCATAGGAAAAAGGAAATATTATCGTACGTACCAATAAAGGGCCATTCTACTTCCCGAATCGAAGTCATCGAATTCGTAGAATTTTCCCGTTTTCAATTGACAAGTTCGATTTAGCTGCATCAGGGAACGATATGGCGAAATCACGATCCCTCCTACAACGTATATGAGATCCTCTCAGAAGGCAGGATGTCTTTTTCGCATCGGGGATAGCGAGAATAGACGCTTTTATATCGGCCGCGTTTTCCCGGCTCGCGATGACCGAGCAAAAGGAAGGTAGTTTGGTCGTTCCGAAACCTGAATGGCCTATTTAAGCTGTGTAGAAAAGAATCGTGAACCTTTATACCGTGGTAAACCCAGGTGACAGTCGTTCTAGTGCCATCATTCGACAGGAGCACATTAACCTGCGTATAACGCGTGGAATACGATCCTACGCATAGCGAATGATGGGACAACTTTGACACGCTAATAAAAACTTCTACATATCCGTAAACAAGCGTTTACATAAAATTTGTTACATCGTATACAATTTAATAACCAATATTTTCCCGAAAATTTTGCAAGTATCAAGAGTAAGAGGTTAGGTTTAATTCGCAGTTCGATCGATTTCTTGGCAGCAGGGAATATTTGTCGAACTCAAAACTATGATCAAACGATAATATTGACTCGAATCTAAGAGGGTCCTGTTCGGTTCAATTACGTCTCGAATCGACTTCGGTTTAAGTTTGATTCAAGATCCTTTCGTACTCTGCGGTTCTGTAGGGAATAAAAACGACAGAATCGAGTTGGAACGGTAAAAAGTGGTGGATTTTTTATGTATTATGTTAACGAGTAATTTACATTTGGACACCGATTCCTTGTACTACGCTTTGCGACAAAATCGTTCCATTTTCATGCACTCGCGTACCGTCTCGCTTGAAATTCCGAGCGATAAAAGTTATTAACACGTGGGATGCCGCGGGGACCACTGGAGACCACTGTCGTAAATTCAACGCGAATAACTGAGGGAGGAAGAATAAAAAGAAAACTCGAAGTGACATTAATATTGTATTAATTTCCAGGGTAGCAAGTGGAAAATTTGAATTGGAAAATGAAACTGTCGGGTTCTGCAGAAGTTGAATACAATGTGTTAATACGTTAAATGTCGGTAACAGATGTTTACTGTTTACAATTGTAATTATTTAGAATTCCATCTCTCAATTTAAACTTTCCATATTCAGTCCATGCAATATTAATATCGCTTGGGTTAATCTTTCAGCTATTTCATTTTAGATTTCATTTTCGTCTCAATGTTATACTGCATTTTTAAGTTCATTCAGTTTGTCTTGTCTCGTACGCATCATCGTAGTGATTACTTCTAACTAGAAAAATCTAGGTCCTAGAAACTTTAACTAGGAGAATGTATTAGGATTGTGTAAGTAACAGAGATGACTCTTGGTGACTCAGCCAGGCAAGGAAAGTAATAGAAAGAAATGGGAATGACAAGGGACAGAACAGAAAGAAATCTTGGCGAAGTCCGAATGTAGAGACTAACGAGGAAAAAGTAATACAGCTTCTTGGCTAGAAATATGAGTTGCGGTGGTTTGCGGCAACAACAGAGCAGTTTAATTAGAGCGAGAGCAAACCACCGGTGGACTGGAAATTCAGCCAGAAAGTTGTGCTGGATCCATGAACCTTGTTCGAGAAGTATTCGTTGGAAAATCATTTTCCGGGACGTTTAAGATTGAAGAAGTTCAGGGTTAGAATTCAACTGTTCCAATCTTCGTTCCTGTCAAAAATCAATTTCTACCGAATCCTTCTTTTATCCGGCAGCAGATCAAACAGCGAATCGTTTAAATTTCGACGATGAGCTCCTCAAGTTACTCGGAATAATCGCGTTCCGAAGCTTCGCTTGTGCGCTCTCGCTCGCGACGATACTTGCATAGCTAATGGACGGAGATCGATCGAATCAGAAATCCAACAGCTTCCTGTCCGAAGCGATTCTGTAGTTCATTTATCGTGGCCATGGAGTTGCATCCAAAATGTCGAACGCGGTTTAAACTTGGACGGAAAAGTATCCGCATTATGAGCAATCGTGGCTGACAAGGATGCTCGATAGAGTTTCTTCGCATGCATATTCATAACCGCTTCTCGTTTTCTCCAAGTTATCTGACTGTAAATTCAGTTATTAGTACAGTTCACTGGCTAACTAACGGCTCGTTGAATAGCACGCGAACTATTCGTGACGTATGGATTAGAGTAATTTCACGAATACTTGACGACCGGCAAAATGTTCGGCCATATGTTCGCGTATCGTATGAATTATTCCTAACAATTTTATTCCATTAACCCCGTAAAACTACGTCTATTCGCTTTGACGAGCTACAATCGTGAGCCGAGATTAATTGTCAGTTTAACGGAACGGATCCGACTCGTTTCACCGAAACTGGAAAACGTTGTTACACGGATCTCCCTTCACGTTCGTGTAATTAGCGATTAAATTGCTAATCTGAACCTACACCGGTTACCCGATATCCATAACCTTTCGCCGTTATGGTTCGGTAAAATATCGAACTGGCAACCACGTGACACCATGTTGCATCGTTCTCGAATAATTATCGCCATAATCACCGATGATGGATAATTGGATATCTCGATAGTTTCATAGAATCCTCTGTTAATACTTGCTACTCGAGGTAGTCAGCTCGTTGTATAACAGAAATTCGAAATTAACCTATGCATTAATGTACCCCCAATCAAGAGTAGACCGCAAAAGAAATTTCACTCTCCATCGACTAATTTAAAGATTCTCAAAAGTTTGAAAAGTGTAAGAGGAATTGGTATTTGACGCCATCATCGTAAAGCTTATCGGTGGACCAATGGACGCCATTTACATCGGCTACCTTGGCAATCTCCGTTCCCAGCTTTGTCCTTCCCCCATCAGGATTTCTCGTTCATCTTAGCGACCACACGATTTCTCAATTTCTTCTCGGCTGTTTTACGATCGCAGGAAAGAAGAGATTTCCCCGTATCCTGCTGATCCATGCTGAATTTTATTTCACGCATACAATCGTTGGAACGAGTCGTAATAAAACGGAAGGAAAACAGTGATTTGTTCGTGATATTCAGCTAACACTAAGGCCACGAGGGAAGAAATATTTCTTCTTCGAATGTTATCGATCGGATGGATGCTTGCATTCAACGAACAGATTGAATAATTTAAGAGTAGTTTTCAAGCTCGTGTGAACGGCTGTTACGTATTCCACGTGCGTTCTCAAGGTTTGCCTTGAAAACAGAAACAGGAACATCTCATTCGAGCGAGCACGTGTGCACGTTCCGCTTGCGATGCACGGAACGATGTCTCTGCTTCTGTAATAAAAGCACTATTCTATACTCGTAACTAGCTTGAAAATCTTAATCATTCCTTACTAATGTAATAGAAACGAACAAATGTTTCGATAATGAAGCGGTGGTCTGATATCTTCCCATGGTGCTTAGAGAGGTGCTAAAATTAAACTAGCAACGCTGAGATTATCGGTGCTCGAATTTCGAGAGCTAACAAAGTTGGCAATCGCATAAAGAAAATTGCTATCTTCCAAGTATCAAAAGCGATTTCGACGTGCTACACGAATCGCAGGGGTCTGACAAATAAACGATCTCGATCGTAAACAAGATTTAAAAGTAGTTATTGGCCGGATCCATAAAAAAAAGGAATTGTTCTGTTGGATGTTGCGCGAAGCTCGTATCGTCGCGTCATTAAGCACACCGTTGATTTAAATGGAGTAGAAAACCATTTAACGTAAACCATGACGCCTGTAACGTCGAGCCGTTAATTTCAACATTGATTTAAGCCGTGTAGAAACCAATTTAACTTGCGCCTGACTGTGCAGCCTCGATGCAACATCCGGTACTCCTGCGGTCAACATCGAGGCCCAGCATGCGATAAATTATGAACCCAGACGAATTTTCCGTTGATGAATCGTCTGGTTTTGGCGGGGTAAAGATCGATCCAGATGCCATTAATCGTAAATTTACTGTCGGGAGGCGGACAATTTGAAATTCGTTCGGATAAGCCCATAGCGACGTCGATGACACGAATTTTTTGTCCGCTGATATTTCGGGATTTTCATGAAAATATTTCCGCGCGTTTCATTTCGAAGCGTTTTGTTTGTCCAGGCATGAACGCGCTAATTGCTTGTCCATCAATGACGAACGACCTATTGCGACGTTGACAATTCATTTTTGCAAAGTATCACGGTTAGTTTAATTACGATCGCAATTAGTTTTACAGTATTTACAACGAAGGCCGATAACAAGCGAGTTTATGTTACAAATCACTTCTCCCGTTTATCGAGTTCATGAGTTTGCTTGTTTCATTAAAATTTCAATCGCAAAAGCATTACCGATGTACTGTATTTCACTGCCAAAGGCAGTTGTGCATTCATGATCAAATAGTTTCGCGTTAAGCCTGGATCACCGATATCGAGTTGTCTATACCACGTTCTACTTGTCTGACCGCGATAAGGTACTCTTCTACTCGACTGACCACTACACGGACCTATTCTACTTGTCTGCTCACCCGTGCTTTAATGCCGTGACTGACCATGCGAGGACATATTCTACTTGTCTGACCATCCGTCATCTGTTACTAATTGTCAGACAACATCGTCTTAATCCACTTAGCCTATCAGCTACAACTTTACATTCGAATAAACTTCGCTATCTACTTGTCTGATCATGCTTGTACTTATTTGATTATGTACAAATTCATACTTATCTACGCTTTGATACTACAGCTGTCTGACTACACATTTTTATTCTACTTCGCTCCTCTCTAAAATCACATTCTACTCGTCTCACATCGACTAATACTACTTCTGTGACTGTTCAGACTCGCGTTCTACTGATTTGACTACACACATCACTGTACTTATCTGAATACACCGTTTTATTCATTATCTGGCTACATACGGTCGTATTCCATTTGTCTGACCACACACCGCCCAGTACTACTTCTCCAGCCAACCGCTACGGTACTTTACCGTACCCTAGCGCATTTAAATTTTAAAGCAGTCGATGTTACTGTGTTTTGCCTTTTAACTGCAAATGTTCAATGAACCATGTATCCCATACATTATACGAGTTGCTTTTTGTCGAGGCAATGAAACAGATATCAGTTGCGCGAATAAATGTACGAGGCGTCGTACGCGATGCAAAAGAAAGATTATGGCCCGAAGAAGTTCGTGAACTTGGCGGGGAATTACGGTCGCTGACGAAAGTTCCGCGTTTAAAAATTCTTAAACTAAAGACTCGCGAAGTCGTGACAAGTATTTTGTCCCTGACACGAGACACAAGAAGACAAGAAGTGAACTAAGAGTTCTTCGTTGGGAATTATTAATTCGAGCGAGTAATACGTGAAATTCCTCGCGAAGAGGAAGAGAAATTGTCCGGTTCAGTTCTTTTTCGAGAATCCTCTGTAATCAGCTTATGAATTATTTACGTGAAGCCTGTAGGATCGCGTGTATTTAACCGGAACGCTGATTAAAACTGTCGGCTTGTGTGATCTTACAAAAATTACCGTATACCGGCTCAAAGCATGCGCTGAAATTAATTTTGTCCATTATCCCTTTGACTTTCATACAATAAACTACAGATCAACGTTGCAATTTCATAAAATTGTTCAAAGCTCCGGCATCGACTTTAAGCTCCGTCGTTATGTCTGGCTAGAAGCCAGCCAAGCTTGAATCGCTGGTCCTTATAGAAATCCTGTAATTAAGAATATCCTGTTATCCAGCCCGTAGAAGTTGAATGGCTCCCTTGCGGAAATAATACTACTGTAATTCGTTATTTTTATCTCGTCTAATAAGATTTTTATTTTTATCGATTCTCGTATTTTACTTTTACCGTGAAAGCGAAATACGTCGAAATATATATTCCTGAATTATACTTGTACATTGTTCTGTTCCTAAATCCCTGAACTCCGATATTTTTAGTATGGAAGTACTCTCTGGGAATATTCTGCAATAAATGATGAAAATTGATGTTGCAGGGAATCTGTTCGTGATAGCGGCGATCCTGTTGGAGCGAAATCTTCAGTCAGTGGCGAATTATTTAATCGTCAGTTTGGCTGTCGCTGATCTAATGGTCGCCTGCCTTGTCATGCCTCTCGGAGCAGTTTACGAGGTAGGTAATTTAACGAAGCTATTAAATGTCATCCCTCGTGATCGCACAGCTTGTTACGAATCTCAATTCCCTCATAAAGCCGTAATTTCGATAAAAATTCGCGCTCTCTCGGCGCAATAAGCGAACGATTCGTACAATTTCACATCCGTGGCGACTATTATTTTAAAATGAAAAAACCGATGAATAAAGCGATGTATAAAACTGCGATCAAACGAAGGGTACTCGAGAAATTCCGTGAAATTCGGTCACCGTGAATTTCGCCGGGAAACACGTAATTAAGCGGATTCGTTTCACGAGTATAGGAAACTCGATTGAGCCTACACGGATAAGGTGGCCGTTTGCGTATACGCGAAAGTTATGTCCATTAATTTTAACCAAGCCGGTGGTCAGTCCGTAGGGTTTCCAGTGGTTATTTGAAGTCGACCATCCATGATCACGCCCGGTTCGGGAGTTAACTCGTTTAGTAGTTTGCACGGTGATCAAGTTTTACAACTTGACAGTCGCAGAGTTTTCGATAGAAAGCAGATGTCCATTTTGCATACCGGTAATCGACACGACTGAAAATGTTAGAAATATCAGCAAATATCGATCGATAACTGTAATCGTAGACTCTCGAGTAAGAGATTTTACTTTCGCACTGAATAAGATTCAATTTCATTCATTAGCCTGGTTAAGTTCGAGGTTTCGCTTTTAATGTATTCCGATGGGTTTGCGAAATCCGAAGAGACTCGTGTTACCGAACGATGATGTATAATTAAAATGGACTCTCGTTACGTAAGAAGCTCGTTACGGCGCCCTTCTTTGAGAATTAATTATCATTTCAAAGTTCGTAAGACGATTACCGGCCAACTTACACAATCGCTTACACGAGCTCTCGAATATTTTCCTCGTCCTACCCCGCCGCCCTGAGCGTTTCCGTTGTTCGCGTGATATCCTCCAAGTTACCTCAAAGCCCTTAAAACACACAACCTATGGCACGTCACGAAAACGCTGAATTCAAGAAATGCCGAAGTTGGAGAGCTTACGATCCTGTTTTCGGTAATTTCGAAATATAAGACCAAAGTTTTGCAACTTCGGTTATCGATAAAATTCAATAAGCAAACATTCGACGCATAAAAATCTTCAATTTCTTGGTTTTTACAATATTTCTATACTCCGTATTTTCAAAAAATGTCCACGTTTTTAAATTAAGTTCAAATCGATAGATTGTGGATGACGATTTAATTGGTACGCCAACATGTCTGACCATACACCGATCATTGTCACTGCTACCCGCGTTAACCACTTTACTGCAACGTGTACCGATCGTAAATCGATCATTATAATCTGATAAACAGTTTACAACGTCCATTACGTATCTCAATGCGTCCCCGGGAATATGACCGAAGTGACGTAATAGATTGTCCCGAAACGAAAAATTCGAAAAACTAACACTGATGGAACAAAATTGTCCGACGTTGCGGGTTGAGCCGCAAAAATTGGAAAAATATCGGTACCGGTGAAAATCTCTGACGTAAATCGAGGATTATAATTCCGTAGCCGTTGTCAGTGTATTTTCACGAGGATGGAATAATAGCTTGCTCTGATTCCAATGAATTCACGGCGCATACTGGGGAAAAGCTTTGTTTTATTTCTTTTCTACAAATTTCATCGTGCTCCAGGGCATCCCTATTTGGAACTTTCACAAAGATTCTACTTCGTGTCTGTGTGTGCGAATGAACATGGCCCTAGTTGTGGCTCTGGTAACGATGCGTATACCTTCAGTCGCGTGTTTCAACTTCGCCTAGGCTCGCAACTTCTCATTGCGGTTTCATTAGGTTTACTAAAAACGAGCGGGAAATAGCACTGCTGGAATTCTCCAAGAATTTATGAGTTAACGACCTTAGACATTTTCCTCGAATATGTAAATGATATCGGGGCACCAATTTCGGGACACGCGTTGGTGTAGTCAGAACTTTTGAGGTTAGAACCTCACCTCCGCTATTATTGTCAACATTCCACGCTTATCTTACAAGCAAATTCAATTTTGTACATGGAGAAATAAAGAGAATTGAGGAATTAAAAACTTGGAATTCGGGTATTGCGACATTTTTGTCAATTTTAAACTGTACAAATTCTAAAGGTAGCCTACATTGTACACATGCATTGTACCCAGTGGATGTAAAACGTGTCAGGATTCGGTGACACAAAGATATCGCAAAATCATAACTATTGTATCTCGGGACTTTGTGTTCGCTGCATAAGCGATTGGAAATTGGATACTCGATATTTGGCGTTGAATCAGCAAGCAGCCGAGAGCAAAGCGTTTACGTATACACGCGCGGAGAATGACAATAAAAGGATAGACCGTCTGGAGGTATGCAGGCAACGCAACAACGGTAGCAGAAATCCGCTGATGCCGAATTCCTGGTGTAACCGAATGCACGTCGTATTGTTGAACGGAAAAACAGACGGACAACGGTTTGTTGGCCGACATTCGAGGTTTCCAATTACATTACGAGGGACCAAAGCTCGTTCGATGCTTGGCCATCAAGCGGGGAGCGACAGAAAGAGGACAGATGGCGAGGTAAAAGACAAGGAGAAGTGGCGGAAGGAGAGACGGAAAAAGAAAGGCGCATTTTCCACGCCATGTGCTTTAAACGCGATCGTACTCGAGCTCGCGAGAGTAGAGAATGGAAAATTGAAGCCGTCTAGGAGTTCCTTGGTATAGTGCGCCGTTCTTGTTTGACGCAGGTTGGAACAAAACAGTGGAAAACGTCGAGGAGCGAATGTGTATAAACGGCGAATAACATTATGGGCGTGGCGTAACGCGAAAGGCTAATGGAGAAGCAAACGTACGAAGAAAACTAATTACAAGGACGCGAGAGGTAAAGTTTGAATAGAGAATGTTTTTCGAGTAATAAAAACGACCACCGTTTCGCTCTAACAGACCAGCGCTTTCTATGGCATTCTTAAATCAAGACAATCCTACAAAAGACTACTCGTACAAAAGAGTAATCCTGACAACTTGTACGGATGAATCGAAACGTTCTGGAATTATCTTTAGTCCCTCTACAAGAATACCGCTCATGTAAAGAGCTATGATTTATTTTTATACGCGTGTTCTCTTCGAGAAGTTTGAAACTGGAGCTCGATAATAAGAAGGAACTTTCAGCGAAAGTCGATTAAATTGCAGCGAACTAAACGGCGAACAAGCGATGACAGTCAAGACGGTTGTATGTAAATCATCCCGAGACGTTCAACGTGGCCTATAATTCTCAGACAATAAGGCAAGAAGCTTCTTTACCTAATGAGAAGCTGCTTGCTAAGCTGTCTAACCAAATGACTGAACATCAGTCACGAGTGTTACGGAATGAGAAATTCCCCGAAGATTGAGATCGAGTGGCTTCACCTTAGAGGATTACACGCCTCGGAATTTCTCCGATATGTCTTACTTCTATGAAGGATAAATACAGACACCTACGTGGACCGAAGCTTTTCCTCGTCGAACATGCACATCTGGCGAGTACGTACATTCTACAATTTCGGACATGTACGCGAACATGTTGCTCCGTGTTAACACGACAAGCTCCCACATTCAGACAGAACGCTCTGAAACCAGACATGTAATGAAAAATCCGGAAGCATTCAGTACTTTTACTGAATACCGTTTACGGTACAATTGAACCCTTTTAATAGCACGTGGAACATAGCGTGCGGTAAATGCAAGGTATGTTAAACGTAATGCTTGACAAATGGAACCAAATACAATGCTTAGTAAATACTACATGTGACAAACTCAACGCGTGATGAATATAATGCATGGTGAGCGCAGCGCATGGTAATCTGAAACCCGACTGCACCGCGTGTAGTAATATAATGCGTGACGATGTAACATTTGACCGAAACTCGGTAAAAATGTCCACAAAGGATTTGCCAGTTTTTCAACGTCGTAATAAATATCTTGGGAGAATAAAGATTTGGTTTTATGAACAATGTGTATAAACACGTCGCGTCCAACGGGCTGGAATTGACAGATTTTCATGGTCGATCATTCGATGGATGTTTAAACAACGCTTCTTTCAATGTCGATGATTGATATCGTAGGGTGAACTTGAATGAAAGCTAATCCGATTACTATGGCATGTCAAAAATCAATAGAGACAAGCTTTACAATATACTACATTGTGTTTGTCAGTTTTTACTTAATCTGGTAACCAAATTTATGAGTATGTCCATAAAATCTTGGCACGTTTCGGAGCAACTTTGTTCTGCACCTGTCTCCCATAAATCAAAATGTGCTGACCAATCTTTTGAATTTAACAATTTTTTTGAAACTTGCTACATTGTTGCCGAAACAATGCGCGAAAGTTTTCGTTCCCGCAGCGTTTTTATAGATGAGCGTGCGACTATAATATTCTATTGATTTTTAAATTTCATTTCACAGCAGCCGAACTTTCATTGTTCATTCATTCGTTTGAAGAACGTTCCTTCCACGGAAAATTTCGCGTTCAAACGTTTCCGTGCTACCTTTTTGTTTTACACCGTTCGATCTATCTCCGAAAAATTTTTCCCGCCGGACTTTTGTCTCTTTTATTATTCGATAAATTCATTTCGCTTCCTTTCTATTTCCTTCGTGTTCCCTTTTATCTCGCTTCTGGTTATCTTTGTTGCCCCTTCACGGTAATTTTTTCGATGAAAGGTCAAATTTTATTCGCTACCACCCGTGTATTTTATCTTCCTTATGTTTCCGACTTCCTTCTTTCCCAGGTCTCCCTGTTCTTTCCACTTCCTCGAACGGTTTCTTATTTCAGAAACTTTCCTCGGTATCGTGGCCGGTTGTAACCATTAATACGTTTCACTTTATTCGATTAACAATATTAATTACCCCGCTTCTCGAGCACACTTTATTCGTTTGTTTCTCATAAATCCATTTTTATTATTCACCAGCTGCGAGAGCGGTAGAATATTTCAAAAGATTCACCCGGAAAAAAAATGTAAACTGTCGCGTTTACTAATAT